GGGGCTGGCTGTTCACTGGAACACGTCATAGCGGGTCTCATGTTCTTTTCCGACACCACTCACCTGGCAAACTTCGGAACTGCGAAAGCTTGGCCGCTTTACCTTTATTTTGGAAATCTGACGAAGTACGCTCGGTCTATGCCTCAATCTGGAGCGTGCCACCTAGTAGGCTTTTTGCCTTCAGTGAGTCCTCCTGACTACTGTACACTTGTTTATCGTAATTTACATTAACTTTCCTTGTCAGCTTCCTGACAGCGTCAAAGATACCTTGAGCGGCCTGTTTCGCATATCGAAGAGCAGCATGGTGTCGCTTCACACACACTGCCATAGGGAGTTGTTCCATGGATGCTGGGAAATTTTGCTTGATGAAGATTTTGTTCGCGCATATCGCCACGGTATTGTTCTGAGATGTGCTGATGGGATGCTGCGGAAAGTATTTCCACGAATATTTACGTATTCAGCTGATTATCCAGAGAAGTACTCCCTTGCCTTTATTAAAACTGTCGGATTACTCATGAGTTCTAGGGTTTAATTGCAACCATGAAGGATATGGGCTCATGTGCATGCCCCTCGTTGTCTCACGCCGAAAAGTTTGTTCAGTTGTCTCGGTTTACTGAAAGACATGAAAAGTCGCATGTCCAAAATCCGAGTATATGCTATGGATAAAGTCGTCGGGCGCGTGAATTCATCTACGACTGGGGAAACACTGTAGGTGGTGTAAAAATTGAACACACCCTTGGAGAGGGTTTGTGGGTATCTACCGTGGTAAGCGTAAATGGTTTCTCGCAATTTATGATCATCTTAAAGTCGCTACTTGTAGAATCAATTTGTTGAAAAGCTTGAACCCCTTGGCCTTGACACGTTCCGCATGCTAGTCGTCGACTTCATGCATGAATGCGAACTAGGCACTTGGAAATCATTGTTCACGCACCTTATCCGGCTTCTCTATGCCCTTCCTACGGGAAATCGACTGGTCGCGACCCTCGACAGCAGGTACGCAGAATTCCTACGGAGTGCTGTTGCTTGGTAACTACAGGTCGTCGACTCAATTTTACTTTATATTTCGCCAGGTCCCAACATTTGGTAATGGCGTAATCTGAACATTTGCAAACAATACCTCCGAAATGAAGAGACTGGCAGCGCGCGACCTTCGAAGATATTTTACAGGTGTGTTGGTGTTCCTCATTTGTCTGCATTGGCTCACTGTTATGTTCTCGGTTGCGAGTGCGCTATTCCGGTTTTCGAAGGGTTATTCCCGCCCGAGCATGATCGAGCCCTGCAATCCCTTCTATACTGATTTGCGCAGTGGCATGCGCTTGTGAAGCTTCGCATGCACTCAGAGTCTACCGTGACTTTCTTGAAGAGACCTTCAAAAAACTTGCCCAGAAATTACGTAAGTTTCAACGCGATACCTGTTCCGCCTTCAA